ATTATAACCCTCCTCATATATATATATATATATATATATATATATATATTAATAATGCATCATGCTATAAATTATGTGTCGCATAATCTTATTCTATCATGCAATAATCACGTACTAAATATATTATGCATCACTCTAATATTATCCAAAAGCCAGACTCATTTTTTCTTTTTATAAACAAAAATAGATGTATCAAGAAAAATATCAAAGCATAAAAAAATGAAAACCAAATTATTCCGTTTCTTCTTATCATATCGCCCTTTCATGTGTTTGAATAAATTTCTTTTTCCAAATTCACGAAGGTATTCATATGCTTTCTTCAACCTCCGACTCAGAAATTCTACATATGCTTCCACTATCTCCAATTTGCTAACACTATGTCATCCACCATATCATTCTGCGTATACTTTGAATAATGGACACATCTTTGCTTCCACTAGTTCTAGCATTACATCTTCAATTCCACATTAAAGTGGATATATACGTCTTTGCTATCTCCAATTATATAGACTCACCACTTCACTTTTATTGCCTTTTTAACCCACCATGCCTTTCACATAAAGGTGGATTAAGAAGGCACGACCACCTTCATTTGAAAAACCCTTTATATGTGTGTTAGATATAATTAATCCAACCAAGAAATTTTTATTTTGTCTTGGATGGGAGCTAGTAGAAATATAATCTGAATCTTCATGATTAAGGAGAGTACTTGGAATCTATACATGTTCAGCATCCACTACTAGAATTTTCTTTATTATTTGAGGATTTTCTTGCAAATTTTTCTCAAAAATTTGCAGGAAACAAGTTACCTGGGAAATTTTCTGTAAATTAAAATTTGCAGGTAAAACCTTCGTGGATAACTCATTTTTCACGGATTTAAAAATTTGTAAGAAATTTCTTGCGAATAATTTTTGCATGAAAATAATAAATTTTTGCAGAAAATTTTGGCAAGAAAAAAATTTTGGTAACCTTTCCTAAGAAAAAAAATTACAGGAAAATGTGTAAGTACTTTTTTATATACCTAAAATTTGTAGCAAAATTTCTTGGGAATTTTAAAACAGTAAGAAAAATCGTAAAAAAAGTTACCTGCCAATTTTCAAAATAGCAAGAAATTGTTGCAAAACTGAAAATTTGCAGGAAACTTTCCTGCAAATTTAATCCGCCGGAAACTTACCTGCAAATTTAATCTGCAGGAAATTTTTGCAATATAAATAAACATATTTTCTTATGAGAAGCGACATCCAATATTTACATTATTTTTCAATATTAACTTCAAATTTTATTTTATGTAAAAGGTTAGTGATTTTGGATTGGACATAATAGATATAATAGTCAATTTGCATAATTGGGATCGCTTCCCTCTTGACAATTGTCCTGCTGCTGCTGTATTATGTGCCAATCTTCGATTTCATGGTTTTTTTTTTTTGCCATGTTTAATGGGAAGCTTGTGATGAACGAATTGGAGGGTGAATATGAATGTGTATGAAAGGAAGATTCCTAGGTGCCCGCTTATTTGTTGCAGATAAAATCTTAAAAGTTGTTGCTATATAAATAACTAACACAATAAATAAATAAATAATGTTAGGTAATATATAAATATATAATAGATATTTATTTACAAAATTTTAGTTTTTAGTGATGGTTTTTTATTTATCAATATAAGTCAATTTTTTTTAATGTAAATTGATTTATATCTACATTAAACTTAAAGATTATATTGATAATTGGTTTTACCTATTAAAGTGGCTAATTTGATAATGTTAAAACACTATAAATATTAACTCTAAAAGCTAAATTAAATATTGGTGAAAAAATGCAAATTAATTGGAGTCTGGCTGGATAATAATTTTATTCGTTTAGACAAGGAAAATAGATTTGAAAAAAAAAAGAGTGATTTGATGGAGATATAAATATATAGTGCACCGTGAATTGATGCGTGTTAAAGTGAAACGTACCTATAGGTTTGAATTTTGAGTTGTACGTCTCTCTCAACAAAAAGATACATGCCTTAATGGATTAATGCATATTAAAGTGAGTACCGAAGCATGAAAATGAAAGAGAATACAAAGGTTGAACTAAAGTCGTAGTTGTTACTTTTGAATAAGAACAGGAGTCCAAGAAATTAAACATAAAGATGAGTATATAGTATATAATGTGGAGGCAAATGAAGTGATTAGCTTATGTAAAAGTAGATCTTAATGGAGATCAAGAACAAACAAATGAGACCAAAGTAGAGGAGAGAATGAACGAGAATGGAAGCACCACTTGTCTTAAAGTTTCCACCAGGCACCTGAAAAAGCAAGCCAGGCATCAAGAGCACGCATAGGATCACAACCACAACCACTGCCCCACAGTTCATTCCTATTGCTTAATTCATGTGTTTTAGTACACACACACACACACACACACACACACACACATACACACACACATATATATATATATATATAGAGAATGTAGTCCACATGGCAACAGATCAGGTGAACATTCAGGCAGTTGGAGACAATGAATGGAGTGATATTCAGGCAACAGAGGCAAAGATAGCTAATGTAAGGGAAGTAGCACTTGAAACTGATGGAAACAACTTGGATATTCCTATGGTTAGCCAGCCAGGTACATATATATAGCAACTATTGAACCCAAATATAGCAGTCATTTCCCAAGTTCATAGCAAGCTAAATATGAATTTTTCTGAGAATGAGGTCTACAATAATAGTAAATGATAAACCACAGTAGTAGAGTATAAATTGTTACTATGCCTAGGTGAGGAAACTTTGCCAAAGTTTGAGCCATTGATAAACTTCTAAATACCATGTATGAAAAAATAAATGATATACCATGTAATAAAATCAACTTGTATCTACAATCAACCATAATGTACTAAAAAATAAATGATATAGCATATGCATGATATACCATGAACTAGAGTCAACTTGTATCTACAATCGACCATAACTTGTACCTATAATCAACCATGCCCTGCATAAAAGTAAATCCTCTTAAAATGAAGATATTAAAGCAAAATCCTCTTTCAAAGAATGAAAAGGTATCAAATATCACCTTCAATATGATCACTATATTCATCACCATTGTCTTCATCATCTTCGTCATCACTTTCATTGTTATGTTGATGTGTAGACATTTCTATGTTCAAATTGACTCCAAAATCACTAGGACACAAGAATCAAACAATAAATTCTCAATCTCAAAAGGTTAACTCATAATAATGAAAAACAATAAAATTAAAAGAATACCTCTAACAGAAAATAAAATATATTTTAAAATATATTATTGAATATTTATATCTAATAATAAAAATTAAAAGAAAATAAAATACAACAAGAGTAAATAAATTAGAAGCAGGACTATAATTTGGAAGTTAAGGAGGGAAACATACCTCTAACAGATAATTAAACATCCAAACTATCACAAGGCACTTCATAGTACTGCATTATAAACTTAGATAATTAGAACATTATCTTTGAGTACTACATAAACAAAATAAAAGTGGCCTAGTAAAAAGGATAATGACATAAGAAATAGAAAATAAGTAAACACTCCTTTTAATTACTCAATTTAAAAAAGATGTTATTATATTAACAAGAAGGGTAGTGTTTTAACAAGAAAATTTATTGCCATATATTTTTAAAAAATTACTTATATCTAGAAGTATAAAGAAAAGAAAAACGAATTAATATAATTTAACAACTTAAAATGAATAAGTATTCGATATTTTTGTGCAATATCCATCCCTACTTCTGAATGACTCGTAAATGATAAATTTTCGGTAACATTATTGGTTAAGGTTGTATGTGACAAAGTGAGTGCAACAAAGCAAGGTTGTCATGTCACGTACTCCAACAGAATAAAGAATTAGAGCTATGAACTAGACATACTATCTAACTACATTTTCATATATTCATGGAAGCAGCTACTAAAGCATACCATCATTCCTCTCTGCATGCGTTGTTGTTTCTTTTTAGTCATCCTCAGAACCCTATAGTAAGATAACATGAATATATCAGAACTATTGTATCTCAAATGCCTTATGCAAAATAAAACACTTTCACCTGTTTTTTAAGCCCTTTAGAAGATCTGCTTTAGAAATTTCTCCGGTCTTTGCCAAAGTCCACACTATCAATACGTCGAAGTGCCACTCTAGGTACCAGTTTTCCTGTACATATAATATACATCCAAGAAATGCACAAGAAACATGTAGAGTGAATATACTTAAACTGCCCAAAAAAGAAAAATTTTTCCAACATCATACTTGAGCGAGTGCTCAAAAGCTGCATCAAAATCATCACTAAGAAACACAGACAGTACATTTTTAAAAGTTTTTCATTCAAACTCATGTTTTATATGTAATGTGCATTCCTTCTTGAAAATTATAAATTTATGGGCTTTAAAATAGTTTGATATTGTTAAATATATATATTTTTCTTATTTGGTAACTTGGTACTTAGCATTCAATTTGCAATTTTTTCTTAGAAATTCACGTGCCTTATTCTAAACAAATCTTAGAAAATTTCTAGAGACAATCCTAAACTTCTTGCACCAAGGCCAGGATCCAGTAAAACCACCTATTATAACCATTATATATTTAACTTTTCTACAGAAAACAAAATGAGGAACTATTCTGCAATGGCTCACAATAATAGATAGATATATAATCTAAAGATAAATTACCAAAATTCTCATTCTAAATAAAAGTAAAAACAATTTTACCAGTCATGCACTCACAACAACAGAACAAAAGCTACCCAACTTTCTTCCAGCCCAAAACTGTGCCTAATCATCGTTTCTCACTGTGTCTAAGAAAACCTTTAGTGGAAGAGGCAAAATCCACTTCAGTGATCTCTGTCTCAAAAGGAATTAATCTCTCACTGTCAACTCAATAATTCCCTTGTTACACACAAACAAATCACCATCTCCCACTCCATTAAAACGGGTCTTATGATTCCGAGCATTAAATTCATAATTGCAAAATAATTGCTTGCTTATAATTTATTTTGAAAGATTCTAGCTTCTACTGCTCAATGCCCAGTTCCCTCTATTAGGCTTTCCAGAAATACATTCAATTAAAATACAGCAAAAAAGAATTTACATGTGACCAATAAGAATCAACTAGAACATATAGGGAGAATGAAGAATAGACATATTTCAGCAAATCCAGAAGTCAGAAACAATATATCACCTCTCAAGTATCAACTAATGTACTAGTCAAACAGCAAACTATCAATCTGTATTCTGGATATGAGTGCACTTCAGCAATTTTAGAGTTTGAAGGTTTGGAGTATGCATTTTAATTTGCTATAGTAGGATAAGATTCTTCACCCATGTTCTGTAGTCTAAAGAGTAATTTTTTGTTCCAAAAACCAGAGCATTTTCTCTTAAATTTGATATCCGATTATGTTAAATGGTCTACTAACATATTAGATTGCAATATAGCAATAACAGTTGTTCACGTGTTCTTATTCAGCTACACAAAGAAAAAATGGTCATTTTTTAAAAAGGTAGAAACTCTAGAATCTCTAGTCATAAATTGTCATTCATTCTTGAGAAAACTCCACTTTCAATAGGGTTGAAATACATATAATGAATAGTTCATTCTATGAAAGTAGCATTAGAAGAATTCTGCACTCACATACTTGATAAAATTCAAATCAAAATCCACCAAGCCTAGCCAAATTGAAATTTAGTTAATAGTTCTACTATAACTGAAGAAGCTGAAGCCTGAAGACAGTGTTATTTGTGATATATATGAAACATTGTTAACTTTGTCAGACCTATAAGAGTATGTTCGGGTGAAAGAGTTTTGACGAAAGGCAGCACACATTTTCATTTTAAAATGAAAGGAACAAGAATAGATATTACCTTGTAATCTCCCGGTCACCCCTTATTCATTTTTGTAAAAGAATTATAACTCTTACAAAACCGAGAAATTAGCATTCCATTCCCTCTCCTGATTTGATTTTCAAGAAAAAAACAAAAATTAATATATAGATAATTGTAAGTTTGATTGAATTAAAATCACATGCAGCTGAGTGACTTATATTTCTCTCTGATTTCTTGTGAATGTGAATATGAATATATCTAATCTTTTATATACTGTTTATCTTGTGTTCTGAACTGAATGAAGTGAACCACCCTAGTTTCTGTAACACCCAACTTTTATTATTTTATTATTATTATTATTATAATATTATTATTAAAGGTATTTTCGTAAATTTATTAAAGTTATAGGGATAATTTAGTAACTTGAAACGGGGTGTTCTAAAAGTGGAACGGGCCGTTCCAAGTATTAAAAATGTGTTGTTTTTGTTGTCCCAGAACGGGCCTGGAACGGACCGTTCTGGAAGGGAGAACGGGCCGTTCTGAAAGCAGAACGGGCCGTTCTGCTGGGTTTTAGAACGGGTCGTTCTGGTTTCAGAACGGGTCGTTCTGCTTTTTGGGAACGGGCCGTTCCGATTTTGGAACGAGCCGTTCCAGTTG